GGTTTAGGGTTTGGTTTTTGTGGTCCATGAAATTTTTTTAACCCGCCCCTTTCTTTACTCTTTCGAAGATTTTTTTTTGTTGGGGAGGGTTGGGTACTGGGCGTAATTTTTTGCTAGTTTCTCTACTACCCCCTTGGGCAAAAAGGGGCTATGTCTGCACTCTTTAAAACCCCCCCGGTATTTCACCGATCTAAGCTCTTTTTCCAAAGAATACTGAGGGTGTGATAGTGGTTTTTTGGGACTTTTTTATAAATTGAGGGATTCCATGAATTTGGTCCCGGGTGAGTGAGTGGCATGTTCTCTATTTCTTTTTCGAAATTTGGGAAATTTTTATTTAATGTAGTTAGTCGGTCTGTGCAGCCTTCTGCTGGAGTGAAAAAAATTTTGCGTTTTTTACCTTTTTCATTTAGGGGGGGTTTCTGAAACCGGCTCCCTACTGTTTTTTTTAGGGTTTTCACTCATTTTTCCCGTTAGTCGTCAGTAATAGTCTCCTCTCAGTAGTGGTCCCAAATTTTACCCGGTGTTCTTACTTGGGGTTTTTGGGGGAAAAAAAAATATTTTTGGGGTTTTTTGCAAAATTTCCCGTATGGCCTTTTTTTTCCCCCGTAATTTTTCTGTGAGGTATGACATCCTAAGTTTTTGGGTCTAATTCAGTGATCTCTTGCTAAGCTGTCTTTCCTCTGTTTAGCATGTTTGTGTTTTTTAAGCAGTTAAATAAACCCCTTTTCTTTTCTTTACCTCTCCTACTCTCTCTATATATATTGGTTTTTCCTCTGGGTTTCCTCAATGGGTTTCATGTTTATACATGCTTTGTTTGTTCTGTATTCAGCTTTTTTGGCACTGGTGGGGTTTTTGGTACTCATGTCTGATTTTTCAGGGTATGGGCTGATTTCTCTTGGTTTATTTTTTTCCCAGTTTTAAATTTTATGGTTGTTTTAAAAATTTAAAATTACTGAAAAATCCCCTTTTTAAATTTAGCGATGCAGTTTTCCCAACCCCCGGTTTTTTTTTAAAATTTTTCCTTTAGGGTTTTAACCCCTTGTTGTTTTGTTTAGGTAAATAGTTTTGGAAATTTTTTTCTTTATCAGTTCCTCCCGGGGTTTTTTGAATATCAAAACCGGGGTATTTTAATTTCTAGTAGGGGTCAAATTTCCTGTTGGGTTTTAAAAATTGTAATTTTCACAAAAACCTCATTATTTTTCCCTTAAATATGTACCTGTTTAGCCAGGGTGCTTCCCCGGGTATTTCTGGTATAACATTAAGTTGTGCCTTTCCATTTTACATGAGGGGGGATTAAAACCCCCAAGGAGTTTAAAAAAATTTGGTTGGGGGATTTTTTTAGCCCCATCCCGATAAACTTTCAATCTTACTTAAATGATCTGTGAATTCCTCAAAAGTTGCCCTTTGGGGGGTTTGTTACTGGATAAATTTCCAAAAACCCTTTTTTAAAATTCAATGCCCAGAATTTCTACTAAATCATTCGCAGAATTTTAGCCTTCTGTACTTTCAAAAAAGTATCCCTTTTCAAGATTCCTCTCCCCCTGTGACCTATTGGGTTCTGTTACATAAAGAAAAGAAACTACAAAGTTTTGACATGTTGTTGTTTTCTATTGTATCTCTCCCTCCAAAAACCCTTGGGATGTGTTTTTGTAAATGCTCCCCAAAATGGCATTCGCTTCTGTCAGGAGCCACTGACATAATTAAAATTTGTCATTTTTATTTGTTTCAAAACCCCGTATTTTTTTCAAATATGAAGGGAGGATTACCAAGGGGGGATTTTGTCTCCCCTTTCTGTTTCATTAGTACCCTGGTGGGGGTACTACCTTTGGGATGTCCCCGGTGTACAATTCCCCGGGTTTTTTCCCCTACGGGGTTTGCGTTTGTTTGCTTTTTCGACCCTTTACGGGCTGATGCTGGGGTTTGGGACGCCCCCCTTTTTCTGCCCCCTTTTTTCTCCCCCCTGTCCTCTCGGGACCATTTCCCCCGTTTGTCTTTCCTTTGTTTCGATCTTTTTTTTCTTGTGCTAACTCTGTGCACCACTTTCCCTTTTAATGATGGTTGGGAGCTAAGGGCCTGACATTCTCTGGACTCTGTTGAAGTTTTTCACCCTTTTCCGGATGGAAGTACCTGCTGCACTCTTTGTTGAAAAGGGCACTTTCCCCTTTCCCCAAAAATTTTTCGCACATTTTTTGGTGTTTTATTCCAAAAATCTCTGCCTTTAGGGCCCATACCTTGCATAAATAAAATGCAAATGTTCTGACTACCTATATTTATTGATTTTGTGTCGTTCCTAAGTTCTTTCCACCTGATCTGAGTTCCCTTGTTCACTTCCTTTTTAGGCTAATTTTTTTCCCTTTGCTCGTTTTCATTTGTTCCTGTTTTTAGTTTTCTCATCCTCCCCTTTCCCCTTTCCCCTATGTTTTTGTATCCCCGTTTCCTTTTTCCCACTTGTTTATGACGTTCTCATTTTTGCCTTATTTTCACTCCTTGGGATTCCCCCTCTGTTTTTATTTTTTTTCCTTTTCTTGCTCCTTTTCCCCTTTTTTCCACTCTTTGTTAACTCTGGCAAGGGTCCTTAGAAAATTCCCTTTTTGCTTTTTAGGTTTTTTACTTTTCAGTACCTCTCTTATGCTTAACCAACTGTCCCTTTCACTGGGGCAAATCCAGAAATGACTTTCTGGTTTTTGGTCATTTGTCATGGTTGCATGAAGCTTTGTACATGATATATGTGATGTTTTACCGCATATTTCACAATCAATGCCCCTCATGTTTCTCCCAAAGATTTTTTACATATACAACAGCCTTTATTCCTGGCCATGATTACTTTTAAACAGGTGTATGTGGTGGCTGGTGTATTTGTTATGTGCGGCTGGTGGTGGGGTGGCTGGTAGGTGGGATGGGCTGGGCGGTGGGTACAATAGGAGGAAGGGGCTGTGCGGTGGAGTGGTTAGCTGGGAGATAGGGTTTGGGGTGGGAGATAGGTGTGAGGATTTCTAGAAAGAAATGCTTTCTGTTGTGAATACTGCATTCACTGTTGTGTGTACTGTGTTCACTGTTGTGTGTACTGTGTTCACTGTTGTGTATATTGTGTTTACTGACAACTCGACTATTTTTTCTTATTTCTACAATCTATACATTTCTTAATAGCTCCACAAGATTTGTACAACCTTTCGTGTTTCCACTGTATGTGGGATGTATTTAATACAGGGAGACTTACTATCCCTCAAAAGCATTTATACATCACGTAGACTTTTCCAATCTGGGTATATTTCACGAGCTCCCCACATACACAAGTCAGTCGCATATTTTCTTGCTAAGATTGGGTTACTTGTGGTGTGGGGTTTATGGTGTTATATGGTAGGCCTTTGTGGTTGCCAGGTAGCACTGCCAGACGTATGGCTGTAGACCTACCCCGGATATATGGCAACTCTCGCATGCGATCACTCACCTAATTATACTCACCTAATTGTGGTTGCAGGGGTCGAGACTCAGCTCCTGGCCCCGCCTCTTCACTGCTTGCTACTATATCCTCTCTCTGCTTCCTGAGCTTTATTATACCTCTTCTTAAATCCACTGCTGTACACTGGATGTCAGAAAGGTTATACACTATATTTATTCACTGCATTATACTGCATTATACCTGGAGTTCATTACCTTTGTAAAGTGTGAGTTCATTACCTTTGTAGATTGTGAATTCATTACCTCTGTAACTTGCGCAGCTATCAAAACTTTGAGGCCCAGTCCCTGGACCCATTATGTACCTCTGTAATCTTTTGACTACCGCCCACTGGATGGGTATGTGGTGACTACCGCCCACTGGATGGGTATGTGGTGACTACCGCCCACAGGATGGGTATGGGGTGCATAATAAACATATTAAACTAACATTATACTAAAATAGTTTTTTTTATCACACAGCTGCTTGGCCTATGGTAATTTCCCTCTTATACTTCCATTTAAATTTATTTGACGCTGAATTCTCAGTGTTGGTAGTTTTGTTTATGTTTTTTTTCCTAGCTAGTCTACTGCCTTCAGTACGGTTACCCTTAATGGCAGTCCACGTTTTTCCATTTTCACTCAACAGTAATACAATTTACTGCTTCCCTTGAATGGTAACACTTCTGTTTCCCAACATCACTGGGCTTAGACTGAGTCCTTGACACTTCCAATATTTTGTTTAATTTCCACTTAAAGAATGCAAGGATCACGTACGTGCTAATCACAGTCGACATATTAGCCATTCACGGCATCACTGTTTCTTTTCCACCGTTTTTTCCCTTTTAGGGACCACTACTAACACTTAAGGAAACTGAGCCCACACACACACGCGTGTGTCCGCCTACCTGTCTACTCTTCATGGCATTTATCAAACCAATCGTAGTGTAAATAATTGCACATGAACTCTCTCCAGGTAAACTCTCCAGGTAAACATAATATTGGTGGGGGAAATACGTGGTAAATCAGAAAACTAACATCTAGTTTATATCTTAATGGTCATTTTCTGTTGTGATGTGTTAGCTACGCTTTAACTGGTAACTTCTGCGGTCAGGTACAACAGCACCTTGAAAGTGCTTGTGATATGCTAGCTCTCATAGCACACTCCTACTTCCTAGCACACTTGAAACAGGCAGAGACTGGGAATGACAACGTTACAGAAAGTGCTAATCAAAACAGATCCCAATGGATTCCCTATTAACTAGGTCCAAAAGAGATAAAATGATCATTGGAGTCCCACGATAACAATATGAATCAGTTATTCATTTCAATTTTTAATTCAGTCAGTATTTTTTGAACAATGCATATCTGCATATCTCTCTTTCCTATTGTTTTGGTAAGTTTTTAATTGAAAGAACCAATAACTGTTATAATTATTAATATAGGAAAAATCTTATAAATTTTAGGTAAGCTTGTTATAGACTAACATTACATGCTGGCTGAATCACCCACACTAATATGCAGGAGAAGAATATAACATAATAAGCAAAAGAGTTAACACATACTCGTTAGCTTCATCGGCTACACTAAAAGTCTCCCACACTGCAGATAGTTGTTCTCCTCGCAGGTTGGTAGCGATCACCTTGAGCTGGTAACGACGACCTCCGCTAGTCAGGGCGTGAAGGTTGTCATTGCCTGCAGGTCATAACAACATTCAGCAATTTACAATCTTCATTGATAATGTAACATTATCATGAACTACAACACAACACAGAACCACATGAACTACAACACAGAGAACTACATGAATTACAACACAACACAGAGAGCTACATGAACTACATTACAACCCGGAGAGCTACATGAACTACAACACAACCCGGAGAGCTACATGAACTACAACACAACACAGAACCACATGAACTACAACACAGAGAACTACATGAATTACAACACAACACAGAGCCACATGAACTACAACACAGAGAACTACATGAATTACAACACAACACAGAGCCACATGAACTACAACACAGAGAACTACATGAATTACAACACAACACAGATCCACATGAACTACATTACAACCCGGAGAGCTACATGAACTACAACACAACCCGGAGAGCTACATGAACTACAACAAACACAGACAGCTACACGAACTACAACACAACCCAGAGAGCTACATGAACTACAACACAACCCGGAGAGCTACATGAACTACAACAGAGAGAGCTACATGAACTATAACACAACCAAGAGAGCTACATGAACTACAACAGAGAGAGCTACATGAACTACAACACAACCCAGAGAGCTACATGAACTACAACAGAGAGAGCTACATGAACTACAACACAACCCAGAGGGCTACATGAACTACAACAGAGAGAGCTACATGAACTACAACACAACCCAGAGAGCTACATGAACTACAACAAACACAGAGAGCTGAACATTAAAATGGTATAAAATACTACTATGTGTCTTACCTAACAAACACAGGGAGCTACACGAACTACAATACAACCCGGAGAGCGACATGAACTACAACACAACCCCTTGAGCTACATGAACTATAACACAATCCAGAGAGCTACATGAACTACAACACAACCTGGAGAGCTACATGAACTAAAACACAACCCGGAGAGCTACATGAACTACAACACAACCTGGAGAGCTACATGAACTAAAACACAACCCGGAGAGCTACATGAACTACAACACAACCCGGAGAGCTACATGAACTACAACACAACACTGAGAGCTACTTAAACTACAACACAACACTGAGAGCTACATGAACTACAACACAACCCGGAGAGCTACATGAACTACAACACAACACTGAGAGCTACATGAACTACAAACACAACCCGGAGGCTACATGAACTACAACAACAACACTGAGAGCTACATGAACTACAACACAACACTGAGTGCTACATGAACTACAACACAACACTGAGAGCTACATGACTACAAACACAACACTGAGAGCTACATGAACTACAACACAACACTGAGAGCTACATGAACTACAACACAACACTGAGAGCTACATGAACTACAACACAACACTGAGAGCTACATGAACTACAACACAACACTGAGAGCTACATGAACTACAACACAACACTGAGAGCTACATGAACTACAACACAACACTGAGAGCTACATGAACTACAACACAACACTGAGAGCTACATGAACTACAACACAACACCTCCTCAAGGTGGCTCCTTGGCACGTTGAACAGGCTCTTTGAGGAATTAGACCTTTTGGTCTCCCTCAGACCGAACCTAATTACCCCCCAATCCCCCCTTCTCTATACCATCCTCCCTTTTCCCTTCCTTTTCCCCTCTGAATTCTCCCTTTTCCCATCCCGTTGTAGCCTCTGGGGTCCTTCCCTGTGGGAAGTGTGCCAGGGTTCATCCCACTCTGTGGGTTCCTTCGGGAGTAGTTTGGCGTGGACTCTGGATCATCTGGAGGTGCCCTGCTCTGTTCCCGGATTTCTAGGAGGTGGGACGGGGTGTCCTGCTTTGACTGTCGTGAACTCCCGTCCTCAGTGTATATTGCGGGACATTGCCTAGAGGTCTGTAAAATGATTCATACTCTTCAATAGTGTCGAAATTGTTGGCGCTAAATACTGCAGGTCTGCGGTGGAGTGCCCAGTGTGCGGTGCTGCTGATGATTCCGATACATCTTGCAGTCTTCCCCTCACATGCCTTAATTGCAAAGAAACTCACCCTTCTTTTTCCTGCTGATGTCAGATCATGAAATCCGTTGTCTTAAGGAAAGTGAAGGCCTTGCTTATGCTATCGCTGTTTCTCGGCTCCACCTTAGATGGAATCTTATATAAGAACACAAGAAAGAAGGAACACTGCAACAGGCCTACTGACCCATGCGAAGCATGTCCATGCCACCCCCGGTTTAGAACAATGACCACCTAGTCAGGTCACTTCCACTTAAGGAAGGAGCACTGCACCAGACCTGGTAGCAACTCAAGGTCCAACTCACACCCACCCACACCCACTCATGTATTTAACATAAGAACATAAGAACATAAGAAAGGAGGAACACTGCAGCAGGCCTGTTGGCCCATACTAGGCAGGTCCCCTACAATTCATCCCACTAACAAGCACTTGACCAACCCAATCTTCAATCCTACCCAAGAAATAAGCTCTGATGTGCAAGTCCCACTCAGTGATGTGCAAGTCCCACTTATTTTTAAAACTACACAACGTCTTAGCTTCTACGACGGTACTCGAGAGTTTGTTCCACTCATCCACAACTCTATTACCAAACCAATGCTTTCCTGTGTCCTTCCTAAATTTGAACTTTTCCAACTTGAGGCCATTGCTACGAGTCCTGTCTTAGCTGGATATTTTCAGCACCCTATTTACATAAGAACATAAGAACATAAGAATGTAGGAACACTGCAGAAGGCCTACTGGCCCATACGAGGCAGGTCCTTATCAAAACGACATCTGTGCAAGAAAGGTATAAAATACCGACAATATGAAAGTTAAGACACATGTGCAACATCTGGATATCTTTATTGTAGACGTTTCGCCATCCAGTGGCTTTATCAATACAGATTCTAGGACATAATAGGAAGACAGTAGAACTATATACAAAAGATGAGGTAATCAGTCCCTCGGCCTTGGAGTTAGTGTTCACAGCATCGTGGTGGAGGAGAGTCTGGAGCAAAGGCAAGAAGACTGGCGTTTTTATAGGCGTCAGTGGAAGGGACGGGCAGCAGACAAGGGCAGTCACTGGTAGGCGGGATTCCCCAGTGGAAGTAGGTCTTTCCCAAAGAGATGGGTTAGTTGCAGTAGCCGTGAAGAAGGTCTTGTAGATGTCCTCTGAACCAAGATTCCATAATGTTGCAGTGTCTGACAAGTTGTGCAAGAAAGGTATAAAATACCGACAATATGAAAGTTAAGACACATGTGCAACATCTGGATATCTTTATTGTAGACGTTTCGCCATCCAGTGGCTTTATCAATACAGATTCTAGGACATAATAGGAAGACAGTAGAACTATATACAAAAAGATGAGGTAATCAGTCCCTCGGCCTTGGAGTTAGTGTTCACAGCATCGTGGTGGAGGAGAGTCTGGAGCAAAGGCAAGAAGACTGGCGTTTTTATAGGCGTCAGTGGAAGGGACGGGCAGCAGACAAGGGCAGTCACTGGTAGGCGGGATTCCCCAGTGGAAGTAGGTCTTTTCCAAAGAGATGGGTTAGTTGCAGTAGCCGTGAAGAAGGTCTTGTAGATGTCCTCTGAACCAAGATTCCATAATGTTGCAGTGTCTGACAAGTTGTGCAAGAAAGGTATAAAATACCGACAATATGAAAGTTAAGACACATGTGCAACATCTGGATATCTTTATTGTAGACGTTTCGCCATCCAGTGGCTTTATCAATACAGATTCTAGGACATAATAGGAAGACAGTAGAACTATATACAAAAGATGAGGTAATACAGTCCCTCGGCCTTGGATGTTAGTGTTCACAGCATCGTGGTGGAGGAGAGTCTGGAGCAAAGGCAAGAAGACTGGCGTTTTTATAGGCGTCAGTGGAAGGGACGGGCAGCAGACAAGGGCAGTCACTGGTAGGCGGGATTCCCCAGTGGAAGTAGGTCTTTCCCAAAGAGATGGGTTAGTTGCAGTAGCCGTGAAGAAGGTCTTGTAGATGTCCTCTGAACCAAGATTCCATAATGTTGCAGTGTCTGACAAGTTGTGCAAGAAAGGTATAAAATACCGACAATATGAAAGTTAAGACACATGTGCAACATCTGGATATCTTTATTGTAGACGTTTCGCCATCCAGTGGCTTTATCAATACAGATTCTAGGACATAATAGGAAGACAGTAGAACTATATACAAAAGATGAGGTAATCAGTCCTCGGCCTTGGAGTTTAGTGTTCACAGCATCGTGGTGGAGGAGAGTCTGGAGCAAAGGCAAGAAGACTGGCGTTTTTATAGGCGTCAGTGGAAGGGACGGGCAGCAGACAAGGGCAGTCACTGGTAGGCGGGATTCCCCAGTGGAAGTAGGTCTTTCCCAAAGAGATGGGTTAGTTGCAGTAGCCGTGAAGAAGGTCTTGTAGATGTCCTCTGAACCAAGATTCCATAATGTTGCAGTGTCTGACAAGTTGTGCAAGAAAGGTATAAAATACGACAATATGAAAGTTAAGACACATGTGCAACATCTGGATATCTTTATTGTAGACGTTTCGCCATCCAGTGGCTTTATCAATACAGATTCTAGGACATAATAGGAAGACAGTAGAACTATATACAAAAGATGAGGTAATCAGTCCCTCGGCCTTGGAGTTAGTGTTCACAGCATCGTGGTGGAGGAGAGTCTGGAGCAAAGGCAAGAAGACTGGCGTTTTATAGGCGTCAGTGGAAGGGACGGGCAGCAGACGAGGGCAGTCACTGGTAGGCGGGATTCCCCAGTGGAAGTAGGTCTTTCCCAAAGAGATGGGTTAGTTGCAGCAGACGTGAAGAAGGTCTTGTAGATGTCCTCTGAACCAAGATTCCATGATGTTGCAGTGTCTGACAAGTTGTGCAAGAAAGGTATAAAATACCGACAATATGAAAGTTAAGACACATGTGCAACATCTGGATATCTTTATTGTAGACGTTTCGCCATCCAGTGGCTTTATCAATACAGATTCTAGGACA